GCAAAACGTTTCTGGTACATTGAGTTGCAAAAAAAAAAGAAAAGTTGGGCAACCGTTTCAAAACTCCAAATCAATAGCTCAGCGTCTGCAGCTTTTAACTGTCAATGTTTTAGCAGCTTCTGCCTAATGGAGGGAGAATTATAGCCTGGGACTAAGTTTTGTTTTAGGTTACCGGTTTTGTCCCATACTTCTTGTGCCACCTCAGCTGAGCCACCCAGCCCGACACTGCTCTCACCTGCCTTCGGTTCCTCATTTGCAATACAAGGACAATGTCACTCTTCAAAAGGTGTTGGCAGGCTGCGTTCTTCCAGACAGCCCCACGTTGTGAGCTTGGTAGAGGAGACATGTTATAGAAATGCAGAGCATTTGGTTACTGTTCACTGACTCCCATTCCCTAGGTAGTGATAACTCAGGCCAGCTTCAGCAAATGGCATTGCAGGTTTTAAGTCAGGCAATGGAAATCAGCAGAGCTGCAGCTGGTGATGCAAACTGTGCAGAAGGATGTTTTGGCAGGTTGACATCTACCCTACCTCTGGCAGAAAAATGAATGAGTCAGTGGGTCTGGTTCAATCCCAGAACTGTCAAGGCCACCCTGGGAATGGTGCTTTGCATAGAAGCTATTGCAGTGCCACGAAGCGGAGGAAAACGAATGTTCATTTTAGCAGCTGCACTGAGCTCGTGTCCTTCTGCCCGGCGGGGAATCATCAATTTCCCAGCTTCTCCGAGACACGGAGCGCTCCATTTACACAGAAGACATCCTCCCCCTGAGATGCTGGTGCAGACGCTACAACAAGCAGGTGATTCCCTGCTCAATTCCCACTGACACCTGCATATTCCACGCTTGGGAGATGGATGGCAGAGAACAGGGCAAAGCAACTCAACCAAGCAGCTAATGTTACACTGAGCCCACGCCAGAGGGAATGGATTCCCATAGCAGGCAGATGCATCTCCGAATACAGGAGCCTAGGACTGCATGATGGAAAAGGGACAGAGGGAGAGAGACTGGTAGAGCCACAATGCGCAGAAGCACTTTAATTGGGAGAGAGAGTCGAAAATACTGTAGTAGAATAAGGGAAGACTGATCACCAGCTTAGATCAGTGGGACATGTATCAGTGCAATATATCCCACTTTGTCACCTTGGTCCTTTTTCCACTTTATTCATATCTTTGCTGTCGATCTGTAATAATCTTGATCCCCACTGGCATGGTCTCGACTATACCTGCTATACCCACAAACACACCTACACACTACCGTCACACACTGTTTAGGGCTATGCCAGCCCTGCAAACTGACATCAGCCCAAGAGTTTTTCTGCTTATGTCAGCATGGTTCCTCTCTGCAACCAGAGCCCATTGGAGTCAATGGAAAGTCATTTTTGGACTTCAGTGGACTTTGTATCTGGTTTTTAAAGAACAGACTTTTTAAAACATTGCATGGGACTCATATTCTTAGTTCATTAGACATGTTGGCATTCACGGCATTCCCTCCAGTAGATATGTGGCTAGGAGCAATGCCTCTGTTCACATTGCCACGGGAGCTAGCATATGGTCTTTAACATAAGCTTTGGCCATGATTCCTAGCTGTTGTATCAAATTATAAGCCAGAGCCTGCTCTGATAATGTTATTAAATTCATATGAACCAGGCTCTGTCATACGTGAGATTTTCCAAAGACAGCAGTGGAATCCAAATTATTTTAATCCGTGCATGTTTTTCAATATAGCCCGAAGGGAAGGTGCTAATCTGCTGTCCCCAGTTAACACCTGGCAGCGTCAATGAACTGAACTGGTATATCATCTTTGTATCTCATCCGTTGAGGTACATTCCCTTGCAGACCAACCCTCCCATGGTATAGTTTGCTGGTTCCTTTGCTCTTTTGATTTCCTGGTTGTGTGTTTTGGCTTTTTGTTTGTTTTAAACAGATGGAGTCAATCAGCATCACTCTAGTCACTAAAATAGAGCCGTGTCAGTTTATACTAGTTATTTGTCTGCATATGTTCTCAGCAGAAAAATTGGGGAATGGTAAATATAACTACTTCCACAGAATGCCTCCTCCAGCTTTTGCCCTTTAGGTGGGCAAGATCAAGTTCCTATCTGGTGCTAGGTGGAACCATTGGCGGAGTCAAAGGGACGGTTAGTGGTGAACTCCTGCAAATCTCAGTATTATCTTTTCAAAGCTCTGCAATTAAATCAACTATTGATTAGGTAGGTCGTTGCCACTGAAGAAATGAGCCCAACAGCTCAGCCGATTAAATGGAATTCTGAAAGTGATTAAAAAGCTTCTCTTTTCCTGGCTGGGATACAAAACAAAGCCAGATATCCTTTTTTTTTTTAATTTTTTTTTTGGAGAGGTGGGGGAAAGCCAACATTTATTACAACATGAGCAGAGCATATACTTTCCTTCCAACAATGGCAGTCATTTGCTCCAGGGAGATAACGATCAAGATTTGACCGGTCCTGCACCTCGTTCTGCTGCTGATTCACCGTAAGACTTCAGAAAAAGTTGGGTAATGTCTCTGTGCCTTGATTTCCCCAGTTGCAACATGTTTGCATGAAGGTTAGCTAACTAATAACTGTAGGCTAATTAACTAATTATGGTAGAGGTCTTGAGATCATTGTATGGGTACTTGGTTTTGCCCAGAGTATGTCTACCAAAAAGACATCCTGCCCTTATGCAAGGACTTCTGGAGATGGAAAATTTACCACTTTCACTGATGGTGGGTTTTTTTTGTTTTTACCCAATAGTTTATCACCCTCACTGTGATATCATCCAGCATTGGATGGATATCAGTCCGATTCATTTATGTGGGTGGAAGCTTTTCCTGAATAAAGACTTCAGATGGTGGCCTCTGGTCCAGGAACAACAGTGACTCAAAGGGAAGGGTTCTCCTAAGCAATCACAGCATTTTACTGTTTCACTTCTCCTAATGATGACCCATACATTTATCTGCTTCTGGATACTTCACTGAGTGTAATCACAGCGGGAGGAACAGAGCAACCTCCCCCTTTAGCAACCAGGTGGCTTAGGTTTAGGCAATCCTGTTCAATTAGCCCCAACTGCTAAACCTGCATTTAAAAGGAAGGAAGCCAGCCCCAGGGAACTGCCTAGGAAGGAGGTTTTATGCTATTAGGGCAGAAAGCTCTAGTACTTGTCTGTAAGGTGTAGCCTATCTGAGACTTTCAGGAAGGAGGTTGCTATGATCTAGGGTGACTAGAGCTCTGGAGAAGAAATTGCTGCTATAACCCAGCTGAAGGGGGCCTGCAGGGAGGCTGAGGAGCTGGTGAAAGGGGAGTGGGCTTCAAGGAAGATGCACAAGGTTATGGGGGAAGATCAAGATAAGTTAAAGGAAGTATCTTCAAAAGAAGCTGGGTAGAAAGCTGCTAAGCAGTGAAGGAACTGCTCTACACCACTTCATATAGGGCTTCTGGACTAAAACTCAGAGGAATGGATGGACCTAGGTCCTTCTACCAAGCCCTGCAATATACTGAGGGAGGGTATATTGAATGCTACTCTGACCAAGGAGATCCCTTTAGAGAGCTGGTGGTGTTAGACAAGCAGGTAGAGAGCTGCTGCTAGTGGTGCTAAAGGGGAAGCTGAGGCAGGCTTGCTGCAACTGCCTATGTAATTGTAATCAGAACTTGTGGTAGAGAGGATCTCTCTTATTAGACAAACTAGAATTTTTTTTTTTTCCAAAAAAAAAAAAAATTAATTTTAAGTAATGTTTGTCATATTTGTAAGGGATTTTGCTGGGTAACTGGAGTACTGGGACAGCACTGGAGAATTAAGACAACCAAGTGCTGCCCCTACCACTGCAGGAGGAAATCTGGCACTCAATTCTTTTGAACAAACAAAGAGAAAATAAACCCTTCTGTTTTGAGTAGGAGGTCCCAATGAAAACTTTGCCCTTTTTGCAAGGGTTGGGGAATGAACTTGATCTACCTCCCACTTGCTGTTAGGGTGTGATCTGGTCTGATTTCCACTGAAATTAAGACAAAGTATTTAGCAGCTTCATGTTGTGCAACAGGCTCTAATTGACCTATACACAACTAGCCTCCTACTAAGCCATTTCTATTGATTATCCCCCTCTGATTAACAATTGCCTGATCCAAAGCAGACTGAAGTAAATAGATTTGGTTCACCTCTGGGGACTTTGGATCAGACTTGGATATACTTCACTTACTCTCGCAACTTGGACTGAAGAATGCTGACCCCTGGCAGGTTGCTCTGAGTTGTTGCTGGTGAGTGGCCCCTGGCCTTGATCTTCACTTCTTCTTGTCTTCTTTCCTCATTAAGAAGAGAAATTTGCTGTGCTTTTGCTGATCTGGATTATTGTTTGCCCAGGAGAAGGAATATGTGGGAAGTGAATACCAGTGTCTGCTCTTGATGCAAGCTAGGAGTATGTGTTGGGTTTGTGTTTTTTTGTTTTTTCCATGAGCCAGAAGGCTTTAGAAGTCCCTCCCTGTGAAGCAGATATGCTTTTAAACTGAGTCCATTGATATGCATGAAGCAAGACATCCAAGAAGCATAGGGTAAGAAGGGGCTGTCATATAAGGATCCAAGCTTGCATCTAGAATATGCCCAATGGATGCATTTGGTCATAAACAGACCAAGCTTGGGCCACTGAAAACTGCATAAAAATCTTTTGATTGCTGCAATCAATCAATCAAATGTTCTCAAACGTTCCTCATGAATGATGCCTGATGCTAGTAACTTCGATTTCCTGCATCTCCATTACACATGGGCTCTCCCCACCCAGATGTTTAGAATATAATGATGAATAACAGGCTCTTAAAGGGAGGATTTTAAACTACATATCTCCAATGTGCTCATCAAAATATATATATATAATTTTTAACCTCAGTTCCCCTTATCTGCGCTTCTTGGAAAAACAAAAAATAAATAACTCTGGGTGACTTTGTTGAAATCATGCCACAATATCAACACCTGGGATAAAAGGAGGACTTGGGTATTCTGCTTTATTATACAGTAATAGCCATCTGAATAGTTTGTGTGGCCTCTAGCATTAAGTACTGCGTTCTTCATTTTGGAAGCTGCCAGAAACCCACCTGTGGCATTGGCAATTGTCCTAGGCAAGGTTTAACTGCCTGAACAGAGGAAATCTGGAGAGGGTTGCTGCAGAAGTACAAGTTCAGATAAGCAGAGGCAGCTCAGACTTCGTGACCGAGTAAGGAAGAATCTCTTCCCAAGGAGTTGAGCCCAGAGGGATTTCTGAACAGTACATTGCCAGCACAGTAGCCTTATGCAGGTTGGTTTTGTATGGTGGTGTCTATTTAGTGAACACGGGTATTTGGACCCAGTAATACGCATGTGGTTTCTTTATGGGAATTGTGTTGTTGAAAAGTGGGAAAGATGCAAAAACCTGCCACCCCATCTGGTGCCTGAAATATGTGGAACATAAATTCATAGAAAAGGAACCATTAGCTCGTGGTAACTCGACTTCCCATAGAAAACAGGCCACACCATTGCGTCCTGTTGCTCCTGTCTTGAGCCCAAGTACTTGGTCTTGACCAGAGCATGTCTACCAAAAAGGCATCCTGTCCCTATGCAAGGACTTCAGGAGATGGAAAACTTTCCACTTTCACTAATGGGGTTTGTTTGGGGTTTTTTAGCCAATAATTTATTACCCTCACTTTAAAATAGTTAGGCATTATTTCTTGTTAGAGTTGATTTGGATTTGAATTTTCTTAATTTAGCTTCCTATATCCAAAAATGATCTCTGTTTTACGTAAGGAACAGATAAAAAAAAAAAGTTCTAGGTGCCTTCTGCACATGGCCAAAGACCGTGGACCTCTGGTCAGTGTCTGATCCCATACATTTTGCAAAAAAAGTGACAAGATTTTGGCACCTTCAAACCCTGAAACTTGAGCTTTGACATTGAATCAAAGACTTAATCTGTCTCTACACCAATAAATAGTCAAATGCCACCTTCAGCCCATCACAGTGTGTAACTCAATTAGCCACTGAACAAAGCACTGGGGTTGACATTGTCTGGTTGGAAGTTTTCCCTCCTGATTTACACCGGTTTTTACTTTTGGGGGGGGGGGGGGTTTATGGACATCAATTACAATTTGAGCTTTTGCTGGAGTCAAACAAGTTGAGCATCTCCTATCTTACTGGATAAATTATTTTCTTCATTTCCTTTATTGCTTGCCTATTATCTGCATAAATCTTCATTTGCAGCTCTTCATTTGGCTCCTAGGAGACACGATGTTTGCTCTGCATTTCTGTAATGAAAATAACAAATAGAAAAACAAAATAGGACAAAATTAAAAACTCCCCATTGGAAACTGGGATGCTATAGGAAATTGGTAAGAGATATGAAGCTTCTTCATCTCTAAATCGGGGCCTAAATCCAATTCATCTCAGGTTAGGAGTAATTAAAGATCTTTTCCATGCACCAGCTCTTAGAGCAGCTTCCATGAACTAGGTGACTGGTCTCATCCAAGCCCTGTCCTGGCATACACAGGTAGCACAGCCTCTCCCATCTTGGGAGGCTGAATAAAAGAGGCTAAAACGTAAAGAAAGATCAACGTTTCCTCTGACACCTTCCCTCTATAGTGCGTGTTGACAGGGCACGATGGGGAAGATTGTACTGCTTCTGTCCAAGGTGTATTGGTTTTGTTCTCTTTTCAAAGAATAATCTTTTATGCCAACACTGCAAAGCTAATACCTCCATGTCCCTAAAGGCAACTGTAACAATGATTCATTTCCCATTGTCTACTCAATTCTTGGCCTCTCTTGATGTTGCCGATTAACGATGTCATTGAGTGGTAACCATGGTGGCAAATTAGGGCTTTTGTTTTCTAGGAGCAACGCTGATCCAAAGGTGGGCTCTCACAGACTCTGGATTGGACCCTGAGATGACAAATCATTTTAATAGGCCACGGAAGAGCTAATAGCTGGGAACAGCTTACAGTCGCTACTAATTAGTGCCTGAAATTGTGACTTGACCAATGCAAGGCCCTACTGCCCGTCAGCTGAGCATCCCCGCCCTTCACCTCCACTTCTTGCTTAAAATAGGTTAAATAATGAAACAGTTATGACAACCTAAGGCAGAAAATAGCAGTATCAACAGCCCCTCTCTTGCTCTGCCAGAAACTGCGCTTTGTACGATTTAAAAGCCCCCACTAATGGATAGGATTCATCCGGAAAGACTGAATCAGGAGCTCATGTCCTTCTCGGACAATGCAGGAGCCCAATGTCTTAATCCAAAGGAGGGCAGTGTGTGATCAGTGGCAAGCTTAGATTCAGCTCCTTTCACTTCTGTAATTGTCAAAAGAAGGGAACGTCTTGTTTAATGCTGTGAAGTCGTTTGGATTCCAGCAAGAAAAATGGGGTTTTCTCAAATTTAAGGGAAACTACCATGTTCCTTTCCCTCCATCTATGCTTTACATTACATATTTTGGGGTATATATTTATATGTCTGTCATTTTGGACCTCATGAGAAGTGCTGGCTTGACAAGCCTCTGATTGTTATAAAAGATGGACACTGCAGCCAGCAACACCGCCGGTCTCCTGACCCATGAGCCTGCGAAAGGGAGAATTTAGCTCATTCTCTGTGCCTAGGTGAGATCAGGTTGTCCACATGATAGCTCCACTCCCATTTATAGACACCAGAGTTTTAAAGAGCTCAGCACCCAGCAAAAACATCTGTATGCTTATCTTGCTGCTTAAGCACATTCTCTAGACTCATTCATGGGATTTTCTTGTGTGTACTGATATTAAGTACACTGGGATCCAGGCAGACAAGGTTCTTTGGGTGAATCTGATATCTTTTATTAGACCAACTTAAATAGTTGTGGGGAAAAAATGTAGCAAGCTTTCGGGTTTAAAAACCTCTTGTCAGGCAGGGCAGACCAGAGTAGCTTTCATAGTAGGCACTATTACAATATCCTCATCACTGGGCAGTGCGAGACAGGCAAGTAAAAGCCTGGTATGATTATGGAGAGACAACACCGAAACCTGGTGCAATATGCACAGGTGGAGTTCAACCCTGCTTAGGATTAATTGTCTGCTGGATCAGAGTTATCCCTCAGGGGTTTGCATGGCCTGTTTGCCACTTTTAGTGTAAATCCAATTGCACCAGTCTACACGTGTCATCCTTCACACCCTAAGTGACAGCTGAGCTCTGGTCCACACATCCTTGTCTATTCTGTTGAGATCAGTAACCAAGGGGCGAATTTGATTTGGCAATGTGATATTTGATGTGAACACTCTTCAGCAGGTGCATTTCATGCTAGGCAACAGGGAGGCAGCAGCCTTTAATCTCTTTAAGCCTCCATTTTTTTTTTTTTTTTTTTTTTTTTTTGGATTAGGCCTCACGCAACTTTCTCTTGAGGTCTTGCAACAGATGGATGGAAGAGCTGGGATTCGAACCCATAGCACTGAGAGGATGCACTCCCTCCATTGCAACCCTATATATTCCATATTACAAGAAGTCCTATTCAGTTCTGGTCTGAGGGATGACTTTTTACTCGCTAGGTTTTATACTAGTTTTCCACAGTTCATTTATTATGGGTTAGGCAGAATCTATTCATCTTGTTAATGCAATCATTCCACCAGTTGGAGTATTAGAGCAAGAACTGAATATGAAAAATATGAACAACAGTTAAGGTTGACACAGACCCAGCACATACTAATTTTAAACCATCGCATTATACGCTGCTCTTACTCTAGAGGTGAAATTAAGGAGGAAACCGAAACATGTAAGAGAGTGCAGAGAGCATAACAACCCGCATATTGGAAATATGTCTGTCCTCAAAATAAGCAATGAATTGTGTAGGGCTTAAATTTGGAGGATCTCATCTCAGTCTTTTAATTTTTTCAATGCATTTTCATAATCATTAATAAGGGTGTGATGAATGAAGGTAGGTGGGTGTGATTTCTGGGAAGGTAAATCTGGATATACGTGGGCTAGTTCCTTCTTACCAGGGAATGCCCGATTCCCATCACTCCCAGTGACAATGAGGCATAGCCATCTGTGAAAAGCAGTCAAATATAATCGGGATTGAATTCAGCTCTAGGCTATGCCACTTCCTGCTGGTGTCATCCCTGCCTTTGCAAAGTCCATATCAGTGCTCATAGTCTCATAGCTGCCGATTTATAATCTGAACAGTAAGGTGGTGATAGCTGGGAAAGAGGGGCTGGTGAAGGCCAGGAGAGGCAGGTGCATGCACTGATTCAGCTTGTCACTCCAAAAAGATGTTTGGGGAGGGTTCCTAGGAAGCCTTGGATGCAATTTTAAAGTTATCTTCACCAATTTTTTTTTTTTTTTTCCTTTGGCAGCACAAGGCTGAACTTAGTCTCTGGATTTAGAAGTCTGGGAAACCCTGACCACTCCCTCCAGCACCCAGAAACAGCCTTTGGGTGAAGCCCAGCATCGGAATTAGCCCTGGTAAACTCAGAGCAGTGACTTAAACCATATAAGATCTGATTATTTTTATTGCTCCTGGAAAGCTCTCAAGTGCACAGTTTGCATTTGTGCGCAGACCACAGCACATTGAGCCAGGTTGTAGCAACCCTGAGGCTGCTCTAGCCAGGGTCTATGGGCTGGAGCACCCATAGACATGAGCAGGCATAATTACAGCACATTGGAGGAGACTTGATTTCATCCAGTCTGCTAGAGCATGGTAATTACTGTGCTCCAGCAGACCCCAGCATCTCATGTATCAGCATCCCCGCATTGAAAAATGGTGTTAATGAGCATTCAATGAGCTTTAGTTAAAGCGCATCTGCTGCCATTTTTCAGCACAGGGACACTGATACACAAGATACTCCAGGTAATTAGAGTGGCTCTGGGAGCATGCCTCACCCCCCGCCTCCCAGAGCACATGTGTAAATGCCTAATATGCCTAATAGGGCTGGCTGGCATATGAGGGCCCCTGCGCTGAAGCATCCTTGTGCCCAGCCAGCTGGGTCAGTATCTACACATGCTCTGCTACGCACAAAAAGACTCCTCACCAGGAGTCTTCAGTACAAGTACTACCCTGCTTTGGAGTTTTAGTTTCATGTACCCTAATAGGGGCACACCTGTCGATGCTGAGACATTTACTGTGCAACTAGTCAACTGCGCGGTAAACGTCTCGTGTAGACGCACCCAGTGCAAGCTTAACACAGTAGATCTTGGTGCAAATTGCTCACATACCAGAATGATGGGTGCAGTTTAAAAATATAAATCACTGGAAAGAGCTCATTGTTAGGTGGAACTATATCCGTTTGACATATAATAAAGGAACATCAAATGGTTTGGAAATGTGATTGAGGAATCATAGGGAAATTTGCTTTTATAAAGAAACATGAAAGAATAACCTCCCCCAAACATACTGGTGACCTTTGGTGTCCTTGGTTCTCTTTATTTGAAGGTGTTCTTTCCAAACGTACCAGGCAAGAGTGTATCTGGCAATGCCTCGCTCTAGCTCCGCCGCTCTGACTCAGGTTTACCATTTACTATAGCCACATCTGGAGACAGGTGACTATTTGATACATTATTAGACAAAGTGGACTGCTAACTCTGGGGACCCAAAGAGATTTGCAAAGCTGGAGACATTTAAAAGACATTTACATTTCTTTCATGTAATTAAACTCATTTGTTTAAACAGGAGGAGAAAAGGTTATCTTCTAACAACAGCAGGATGGTCTAACCAGCTCTGACCATCTTCCAGACATGTTGCTCTGATCTGGAATGATTTTAGGAGCATGGGAAGCTTCTCACTCTGAAATACCTCCAGGTAGTACAGCAATCTCCTACACAGTCTCCATTCTTCGTGGGATTCCTGTGGGATATGAAATCCAGGTCAGGGCTTTGCTGGGAAGCCCATCCCAGTGGCTGGGAAGCCCGGGAGCTCCAGGTGTGACTCCTTCCTCTGCTATGGACACACTGTGCGGCTGTGGGCAAATTGCTTAATCTCAATGTACTTCTATCCCCAGTATTTCCTATGCTCATAAAGTTTCGGTGAGGATAGATGCATCGAACTCCTGTAGGGCAGTCCAGGGTAGTTGGATGCTGCCATGACAGGGACCATGCAAGTATCTAAAGGTGCGAATGCAGCTCATTGAGAGATATCTGAGCAAGCTTTAAAATTTTGTTCTTTTAAGAGACATTTTGGAGCCAGAGCCTCGTCACCTTGCATTTGACTGAACACTTCCAGGCCTGTAGAAATTAAAGCAACCAAGAAATAAAATTGACCTACACCCCGGCCATATTCTCGGGCTGTAACATGCGTCCTGTTTTCATGCCCATGTCCATGATAATGAGCAAATAAAAACTGGTTTGAGAAGAAGAGGAAAAACAGAAGGTAGCAGACGTGTTAGCACAAGACCCTGTAAATAAAATGCAATCTCAAAGCACTCATCAACGGCTCTGTGAACAATCTCACATTGCTTTGTTTAAAGGGTGGAAAATGAAAAGTTTTGACAAAGGTATTTGCGCGCTGTCTGAAATGGCAGCAACAATTCTGAGAGTGTTAAGAAAGCAAACCAATATTTATCAGTGGGATCTGGCATCACTTTTCAGCCATGATGAAAAGCTGAGTGGGGGAAAGGCAGTTTGTATCAGTGTCTTAAATAGACTCTTTTTTTGCTGATACAGGACAGGGTGCTATTTTTCACACCTTGTGCCAGATGCACCAGAGAAGGAGAATATTTTTAAATTTTAATGAGCAGGTCATATTCACTACTTGCTTCCTCCCAAGATGGAACAGAACAGGATTGCAATAATTAACTAATCAGGTTCTCTATATTTTTAGAGAGCCAGCACTTCATACATCTCAGCAGGTGCTGCTTTATCTGCATTGAATCCTGCCACTCAGAATCTCTCCATGTCTTCCCAGCATGCATTGATATTCTCCAGACCTGTTGTATCTTCAGTCTACTCTCCATACTTCCTAGGTGCAGCCATGGAAGCCACAGATCAGGTAGATACCTATAGCAGGTATCTACCAATACCCTGGTGTCCCAAGTCACCCACCCCCATCCTGGAGATTAGATCTGTTCTACTAGCCATGATTCTGGACCTACCTTTACTATCCTGGGCAGAAAAGATGGATTTAAAATGTGTTTCATGTCACTTGAGCACCTAATGTGCTTCCCTTCTTGCACACTCCCACCATTAGGCAGGCAGCAATCTCCTAAGGATTAAAGCAGAAGATGAAGGTCTAGCCCTTGTGACTATTTCCTGTGTGACGTTGAGCAAGTCATTACTAGCAAACACTTATTTCCCTGAGTAGGATCAGAAACATGGTCAAGCAAATAGATTTCTTAGACTGGGACTCGGGCACAGAGGCACGGGGCCTGCATTGGTGAGGTCAACCATCGCTTACGCAGCTGGTGCCGCCGGGCAGGCCTTGGGTTCTTTGACAACGACCCATGCTTTCGGGAGGGGGGATTGCTGGGGCGGGATGGGCTTCATCTCTCCCCTAATGGCAAGCGTGTCTTCTCTTCCAGGTTGGCTGATCTCGTACAGCGAGCTTTAAACTAGACTCGCCGGGGGAGGGGGCTGCAGGAAGACGAGGAGATGCCATCAGGGCAAGGGGTGCAAAGGTAAGTAATGGGGGTCCTGATGGTCTGCCTAATTGGCGGGGGGGCACACAGTCTTGCAAGGCCTTAAATGCCTGTACACCAATGCTCGTAGCATGGGGAACAAACAGGAGGAACTCGCCCTCAGAATAGCTAGTTCAAACCCATCAGGGGGGGGGGTGGGACTTTATGTCAAGGAGCACTACACATCCTCTGCCAGCAGTATGGGGTCAGGGGAAGGGCGAGCTGAAGTGCTCTGGGTCAAGATCCAGGGGGGGCAAGGCGAGAGGGATTTGACGGTGGGGGTCTATTACAGACCCCCCAATCAGGAGGAGGAGCTGGACAGGGAATTTTCAGGCCAGCTTGCGGAGACACTAAAAGCAAGGGATGTAGTTGTCATGGGCGATTTTAATTACCCGGACATCTGCTGGGAGGAGCAGTCAGCCGGGACGGACCGCTCCAGGAGGTTCTTGGCCGAGTTGCAGGACCTCCACTTGATTCAGGAGGTGCACAGTCCCACCAGAGGAGATGCTCTGCTGGACCTGGTCCTGGCCGCAGGCGACGACCTGGTAAGAGGCCTCCAGGTTCTTGACCACCTGGGCAATAGTGATCATCGCGTGCTGGAATTCACCATCCAGCGTAGAGTGTCAAGGGCCCGCAGCAAGGTGGTGGCCCTAGACTTCAGGAGGGCCAACTTCAGTGAGATGAGGAGATTAGTGGGAGAGGAACTGGGGTCCTTGAGGGCAGAGGAACTCAGCGTCCAAGAGGAGTGGTCGTTCCTTAAGGAAACGATACTCGGGGCCCAAGGGGTGTCCATCCCGACAAGAAGCAAGGCGGGCAGGAGTGTCCAAAAGCCCCCCTGGCTCACCAAGGGTGTCCGGGAATGCCTGCTTGCCAAAAGGGTGGCGTACGCCCGGTGGAAGGGGGGTGTAATCTCCAAAGAGGAGTATACCTCCTCTGCTCGGGCCTGCAGGCGGGCTGTTAGGAAGGCCAAGGCGGAGATAGAGCTCGGATTAGCGTCCAGGATTAAGGATAACAAAAAGTCCTTTTTCAAATATATTGGGAGGATGAAGAAGGCGCCGGGTAATGTGGGGCCCCTGCAGGATATGCGGGGCAATCTGGTGGTTGCGTCAGAGGATAAAGCGGACCTCTTTAACCAATTCTTCACCTCCGTTTTCTTGTGCAGGGACCGGGACTTCCCTGCTGTGATAGAAGCCGGACGCGAGGGGATCGCCTTCAGACCTCAGGTTGGGGAGGACCGGGTTAGAGAGCTTCTGGAGGGGCTGGACGCGTTCAAGTCAGCGGGTCCGGATGCTCTCCACCCCAGGGTGCTGAGGGAGCTGGCTGGGGTTATTGCAGGGCCCCTGGCACGGCTCTACGAGCGATCGTGGTGCTTGGGCCAGGTGCCAGACGATTGGAAGGTAGCTAATGTGGTCCCCATCTTCAAAAAAGGGAAAAGGGAGGACCCGGGCAATTATAGGCCCGTCAGTCTTACCTCAATCCTGGGGAAGCTCTTTGAGAAGATCATCAAGGAGCACATTTGTGATGGGCCGGCATCAGAAATGATGCTCAGGGGCAATCAGCATGGATTTATTAGGGGGAGATCATGTCAGACCAACCTGATTGCCTTTTATGATCAGGTCACAAAGGCCATGGACGCAGGTGTCGCGGTGGATGTAGTCTTTCTGGACTTCAGCAAGGCCTTTGACACCGTCTCTCACCCCATCCTAATTAATAAACTAGGCGACTGTGGCATAGATGCCTACACAGTCAGATGGATTGCAGATTGGCTGAAGGGTCGCACTCAGAGGGTGGTGGTGGATGGATCATACTCGACTTGGGGGGAGGTGGGTAGTGGAGTCCCCCAGGGCTCGGTCCTGGGGCCTGCGCTGTTCAATTTCTTCATCAGCGATCTTGATGTTGGGGTGGAAAGCAACCTGTTTAAATTCGCTGATGACACCAAAATTTGGGGGGAGGTGAGCACGCTAGCAGGGAGAGAGAGATTGCAGAAGGATCTGGATAGGTTACAGGGGTGGGCAAACAGGAACAGGATGTGTTTCAATACGGACAAGTGCAGGGTGCTGCACTTGGGTAGTAGGAACCAGCAGCACACTTATACGATGGGGAACTCCCTACTTGAGAGCACGGAGGCGGAAAGGGATCTTGGTGTCATTATTGACTCCAAGATGAACATGGGCCGACAATGCGAGGTCATGGTTGGCAGGGCTAACCGGACCTTGTCGTGCATCCACAGGTGCATCTCGAGTAGAGCCAGGGAGGTGATCCTCCCCCTCTATGCGACGCTGGTCAGGCCGCAGCTGGAGTATTGTGTCCAGTTCTGTGCGCCCCATTTCAGGAGGGATGTGGACAACATGGAGAGGGTCCAGAGGAGGGCCACCCGCATGATCCGGGGACAACAGGGCAGACCCTACAGTGAGAGACTGCGGGACTTGAACCTATTCAGCCTCCACAAGAGAAGGCTGAGGGGGGACCTGGTGACCGTCTATAAACTCACTAGGGGGAACCAGAAGGGTTTGGGGGCGACGCTGTTTCCCCTAGCCCCTGCTGGCATAACAAGGAGTAATGGGCACAAGTTGATGGAGAGGAGGTACAGATTGGACATCCGAAAAAATTACTTCACAGTTAGGATGGCTAGGAGCTGGAACCAACTTCCAAGGGAGGTGGTGCTGGCCCCTACCCTGGGGGTCTTTAAGAAGAGGCTGGATGCCTACCTGGCTGGACTCATTTGAGTCCCGTTTTTGTTTTTAGGGTTTTTTGTTGTTCTCCCGCCCTGGCGGGGGGTCGGGCTAGAAGATCTATTAGGTCCCTTCCGACCCTAAAACTATGAAACTATGAAGGCCAACTCATCTCTGCCACAGGCTCCCCATGTGACATTAGTCAACTCAAATCACTGGAGACATCAAACCCCCACCTGCAAAATGAGGATAAATAACCAACCTCACAAGAACATCACAATGATAAAAATCATTGTTCACAACGAGCCGCTTGGTTGTCATGTTGATGTGGGTAGAGATAGGTGTGGGTTGGCATTGACCCTTCTGGGGGGAAAAAAGGGGGTGTATAGAGGTCCAAGCACAAAATTTCACAAGGGATCTAATTTGCCCTGGATGCCTGGGTAGCAGGTTGGGGGAGTGGATAGGGGAGTGTGCATGCTTGATACTCCACCACCTCCTGGATGCTTTGTGAGGCTTAAATGTTCAGCATAAATGTCCTTAAGAATTGGCGGAGGGGCAAATTTCAGCTACTGTTGACCGCTATCCCACAGACATTATCTGCTCACCACACAGATCACAATCCTGGAATAACCCCACTGGCCTCACTGCGGTGAAAATGGCACTCAACAGTGTCTACAGGATGGAGCCTAATAATAATAATTAAAATACTGGGAAAGAATTCTCAGTTGACCCATTCTGCAGCTTTGTTACTTGTAGTTCAATCTCCCTAATTGTTTTCTATGGAGCAGTTGTCTAAGCACAGGAAGGAGATGGGCTGATTAGCTTCTAATTCATTTAATGGCAATATCAGAACAAGCTCTCCATGGCAATATTAGGAAGACATCCCAATTAAGTGCTATGACTGTAAGATGCAAATTCCAGGCTCTGAAAGATCATTCAAGCCATGATACTCCCCACATATTTGATGAACACGAGTCACATAAGCATCGGCGTAGAGAACGTGCCCAGGGTCCCTTCTGACCTTGAACAAGGAATTAACATCCAGCCCCTTTAAACCTGCTCCAGTGCACTTCCATTTTGACACTGGGCTGGAGAGGAACTCAAACATAAATTATCTGCCTTTTTATCCCTTCTTATGATGATTTCCAGCAGTAATTGCTGATCGTTAGCATTAAACTGGCTATAAAAATGTACTTAGAGTGCATCATAAGCTAGTGAGGTTTTTGATGGTTCCCAAGTGCTATTAAATAGATAGTGACTGGGGAAAAAGAAAAAAAAAACACAGAAAGCGTCTAGAGGCCTATGAGTTGGATTGGACTATGTTCAGAAAAGTGCTAAAAATGGCATCATTGTGGGGTGGAAACTGTCTGACTCTGATTGCTGATTTGAGCTCCTATGAGGGGGTTGGACTAGATGACCTCTCGAGGTCCCATCTAGCCTTGTTTCTCTATGATTCTAAGACGGCACAAATCATTGCTCATAACCAGCAAAGCATTGGCAAATGCTCACAAGCAGCTCAGCCTCAGA